CACTGCTGGAGAAGCTGGGATGTTCTGAGCTAATGAGAGATGATGCCCTCATGAATTGGATTAGTGCCCTCATTAAAGAGGCTCCAGAAAGCTCCCTTGCCCCTCTGCACCATGTGAGCACACAGCGAGAAAATGGCTACGAACCAGGACAAGGGCCCTCACCAGTAAGTAGGCTACCATACGAGTGCCTTGATCTTGGGCCTCCTAGCCTCAGAATTGTGAGAAATACATTTCTACTGTTTATAAACTGCCCAGTTCATGGAATTTTGTTACAGCAGCCTGGACAAAGGCAGCATATAAGAAAGAACCCCAACCTTTATTTGGCCGAATGCTATTAATTTTAAGAAGCTGAATTTCTTTTTCAAATCATATGAAGTAAAGCCTGGAGCATTATTGAATCCAGGTAAGTAGAAAACCAAAATATTTCCTATCAAAATCTCAACTCTTATTTCAATTTGAATTTTTTTTTTAAATGAAATCGGTTTAGGTACGTTTATTAAAAAGTTGCATCGTACTTTTTTTTAAGATTTTTTTTTAAATTTTATTTATGATAGTCAGAGAGAGAGAGAGAGAGAGAGAGAGAGAGAGGCAGAGACACAGGCAGAGGGAGAAGCAGGCTCCATGCACCGGGAGCCCGACGTGGGATTCGATCCCGGGTCGCCAGGATCGCGCCCTGGGCCAAAGGCAGGCGCTAAGCCGCTGCGCCACCCAGGGATCCCCTAAGATTTTATTTATTTATTCATGAGAATGCACAGAGAGGAGAGAGAGAGAGGCAGAGACGCAGGCAGAGGGAGAAGCAGGCTCCATGCAGGGAGCCCGACGTGGGACTCCTAGTGGGACTCGATTCAGGATCTCCAGGATCACACCCTGGGCACACCCTGGGCTGCAGGCGGCCCTAAACCGCTGAGCCACCAGGGCTGCCCTTGCATCGTGCTTTTTTTTTTTAATTTTTATTTATTTATGATAGTCACACACACAGAGAGAGAGAGAGAGAGAGAGGCAGAGACACAGGCAGAGGGAGAAGCAGGCTCCATGCACCGGGAGCCCGACGTGGGATTCGATCCCGAGTCTCCAGGATTGCGCCCTGGGCCAAAGGCAGGCGCCAAACCGCTGCGCCACCCAGGGATCCCCTTGCATCGTACTTTTAATGAAAGCTGCCACATTCCATCTGTAAGTCCTAGTACTTGCTTTCAGTCCTTTTATTATTTATTTGGGTATATATCTCTGAATACTATTTTGATCCTTTTACCTTTGACTCTTGAGACATTATCTATTGGCTTTCTTCTACAGAAAGAGAGAATTTCACTTTCTTACACCAGCTGCATATACCCAGTCCCTCCCATGTTCTGTAGTATGATTACATCATACTTGTTGGTATAAGTGGTCAGTGTTTGCATTATTAAGGATTTCCAAATATTATTCACAGCTGAGCCAAGTTGTACATTAAGCAATTTTAGTTTTCCCTAGAGTTTATAATTATCTTGCTAATTATACCAAATTTCAAATTAAACTATAAAACCTCATTTGATTGGGCAGATACAATGAGTGATTCTTACTTGATATCTTGGTCTTGGAAGTCCACTTTATTTTCAATGCGTAAATGCTATTTTTGTTTTGTTTTAATGAAATTAGAAGCATGCCTTAGACACTTTTGTTTTTACAAAGCAATACGTCATAACTAACTCTGATGACTAAAGCATCCTATTTAGTGAATGCATAGTTTTGTACCATCTGAACACATCATAATCCATTAGGCTAATTGCCCATTGTAACACTTGTATACAGTTTTCAATTTTTCACTTTTATAAGCAATCCTGAGATTCACATTCATTCCTGAAGCCCCATTTTGCCTAATTATTTCCTAAGATAAATTCTGAGTGTAGAATTGCTGAGTTAAATGATATATAGATTTTGAATAATTTGATGTATATTTCCTCTTGAAATAGTGCTGGATTTGAGCAAGATTGCTCATTCTGGGCTTGACCATCTTAAACATTTTGTCAATTTTAAATATTGTGTATTTTAATGCTACTCATTTTCTTTACCATTTCTTCAACAGCCACTGAGGCTGTTGTGTGGTTTCATATGCTAAGGTGATATTCTGGTTTTTATATTTTGTGAGTTGTCTGTTTATATTCCTCATTCATTTTACCATCAGGCAGTCTTACGGAGTAAGCTCCTTTGTGTAACCTCACCACCATGGTTTGGAGTTTTCACCTTGTCAGACTTACCCTTTGCCTTTGAGCTCTTCCAGGACTTTCTTCGTGCTATACTTGTGATGCATGACCCAATCTGCCCACATGTACATCTCTCTAATGTTTGCTGAGCACCTCCTGCAGGCTTCAAGGAACTGTAAACACAGTAGGATAGACCAATGGCATGGCTCTCATGGGACTTACCTTTTAGAAGGGGAAGGCAGATAATAAATAAGCAAAAAACAATTTAAAAGATCAGACAGTAAGTGTTAGAGAGAGGGGTAAAACCAGGTACTATACTAGGCCTCCTTCATAAAACCCTCATTGTCCAAACTAATGATTTGTCACTTGTGTAATCAGTACTCTCACATTGTTAGTTCATCTTAGGTTTATACATTTTCTTCTTTCTCAGATAAGTCTAGGAGTCTGTGAAGGTTTAATAGAGTCTGTCTCTATCATGTGCCAACATTATCCAGGGCATGCTAGATGCTAAACTGTTGTATTTACAGTTAATATATAAAATTAGAATCTGGGATCCCTGGGTGGCGCAGAGGTTTGGCGCCTGCCTTTGGCCCAGGGCGCGATCCTGGAGACCCGGGATCGAGTCCCGCGTCGGGCTCCTGGTGCATGGAGCCTGCTTCTCCCTCTGCCTGTGTCTCTGCCTCTCTCTCTCTCTGTGACTATCATAAATAAATAAAAATTAAAAAAAAATTAAAACAAAATTAGAATCTTGCCTGCTCACCACAGGACTGTAATTCAGTCTTCAGCATCCTGTGAAAGAGCCATGGCATATGTGGTTCTTGGTTCAAAGGGGCTAAAAATAAAGAAAGCCTCTTATTGCAGAATGTGAAATTAAATAGATAGCTAAGGCAGTTGCTTTCTTCTTGATGAAAATTTTACAAGGGAGTCAGTCAACAGAGGAGAAAAATCTAGGTTCAAAGTATAATTTAGGTTAACTTGTATTTGAAATAAGAAAAAAGCCTTAGAGTACAATCAGGAAAAAGGGGAGAAAGGTCAGCTGGTACATACGAGGATGCAGATCTGCTGAACTTGAACTATCTCAAAGAACCTGATTTTTAAATAGCAACTGTGCCAAAAACAAAGTTAGGTACACTGTGAACCTGAAGACAGGTATATTAAAAAAAAAAAAACCCTCCCAATAAATACGGGCCTTCAAGTCTCCACATATTTTCTATTTTGGATTGACAAATGTGATTGTATACTAATCAGCAACATGAGAAATCTCAGGAACAAAAGTTACACCATCTGAGGTGTTACTATTTTCAGAAGCTAAGGCTTCTCTTCTGTAATTGGCTACTTTTGGAATAGATTAAAACCCCAAGAGAAACACGCATTAATGCCAGTCTCCAGTCAGATAACATGCTAGGAGCTTTTATTTTACATTAACTTCGTTAACCTGAATCCCCAGACAAAAATAGAGTAAGCGGTTATTCACTCATAAAGTACCGGTTATGTGAGAATAAATCTCGCCAAACTTACATTGTCTGTTTTGGAAGAGAAATCCAGGAGATGGCAAATAATTTTACGATGGAACCTGGTATCTACCTGAGAAGTGGAGACGGGTAGCTTGAATTTAAGATCCTGGTACCCTCAGAGCTAGGGCAAGGCGGGGCAGGGCAGGCAGCACTTGCTATTTGTTGAGTGAGGGACCACTCCTACCTGACTTGCATGCTCAGGGAACTTAAGGTTCTCCAAGTCAGCTGACAGCATGGGGTCTCTAGGGAACCTTTGAGCTTGACCTTAACCTAGTCCTGTTCAACATTTTGGATCTCTAAGTGGGAGACAGTTTCTCCTGTTCAAGGATAATATGTTCGGGTAGCCAAGACACTGGAAGGCAACACAAGAAAAAGAAAAAAAAAAAACCACATCTACAATCAAAATTTATTGAGCCCCTAGGTGAGACCTTAGATACTAACTGTACAAAGATGCAATCTCTGCCCCTCAAACAGTTGTCTATTGAGAGGCAGATATGTGAGTAAATATTCACAAGTGAATGTGGTAAATACTATAAGGCCCCCCAAAGCATAGCCCAACACTGGGGAAGAAATCTACCTTGGAGGGATCCCTGGGTGGCACAGCGGTTTAGTGCCTGCCTTTGGCCCAGGGCGGGATCCTGGAGACCCAGGATCAAATCCCATGTCAGGCTCTTCTCCATCCCCCAACCTCTTCGGTCACAATTCCAGAGTAAGAGCATGTACTGCATGTATTAATCTTTTATGCTGTTCTAAAACAGGCAAGGTAGGTCTCTTTTTCATTCTTCAACCACAGAAATAACTAGCTTTTCACCTACAAGTGAAAAGTGCTAGTCTTTTGTGTTTATGATGCAAATCACAAGCACCAAAAAATTAACTGCTGCAATCTGATGGTATATCACATTACTGGGTAAATAACTTTTGAAAGACTTTATATATATATATATACACACACACACACACGCACACAAATATACCTGCGCATCAAATGACAGCTCTTTTTTCTAAACATTTCTATGTAATTTCCAGGGTAATTCATTAAAATTACCCCAGAAATATATTAGAATATACAAATATGTGTGTATACAGTATACAAACACATACACACACATAGTTTTAAAAAATACTGGCAGTGACCACTCCATTTGAAAATGCATGTATGAACTACCCCAGGAAATGTAAGATGCACTATAAATAAAGCACAGGTTCCAGTGATAATGTATATCTAAAAATAAAAATTAAAAAAAAAGGTCTTTGCTGAGGGTCACATTGAGCTGCGAGGTGCTGCAGGGGTGTCTTTAGAGTTAGCACCATGGCAGAAGACATCAAGTCCAAAATCAAGAACTACCAGACTGCCCCTTTTGACAGCCACTTCCCCAACCAGAACCAGACTAGGAAATGCTGGCAGAACTACCTGGACTTTCACCGCTGTGAGAAGGCAATGACTGCTAAAGGGGGTGACGTTTCCGTGTGCGAATGGTACCGGCGAGTGTACAAGTCCCTCTGCCCCATATCCTGGGTGTCGGCCTGGGATGACCACCGGGCAGAAGGCACATTTCCTGGGAAGATCTGAACTGGCTCCACCCACCTCTCCTCTGTCCTGCATCCTTCTCCCAGGGTGGTGAAGGGGGACCTGGGTACATGGTGATCCCCACCCTGGGATCCTGAATCATGGCTTAACTAATAATAAATACTCTTTGGAAAAGTGAAAAAAAAAAAACTACTACCACATGTGTGCATTTGTGTGTGTGTGTGTGTGTGTGTGTGTGTGTATGTGTGTAGAATTTATTTGGTATCCCCTATATGCCCTAGCCTACGCAGAGGAAAAGTGGAAAGGAAATTGGCTGATGAAAGAAATCTGTTTCTCATGTTCAAAGATTGTACAGTCTATTGGGGAAGAATAAAAACCAAATACCTAGAACTCATAAAATTGCCAAAACCCCCTAGAAACTTAAGAAATTCATGCGATAATGTAATCAATACTATACTAGAACTCAAAAGTGCTAAGCATAAAGGATAAAGAAACAGATGGTTTATTATAAAGGCAATGTTAGAAGACTAATTGCAGACAGAGATTGTGAGTGTGTATGTGTGTGCTGTTGTATGTTGGACACACAGGAACTGGAATTCTAACCAATTTCCTCCCACTCACCTTTTTTTTTTTATGATTCAATCCATCTGTTATTTGTGTCTCATTGAATGATTTCCTGGTTCTCACAACTCCAGGTGTAATAACCCAGAAACACAGAGATAAAGGTCCAGAGAAAAGTAAGCACCATACTCACAATTTTTTTTTTCAGTACACCAAAGTGCAGAAATGTTAAGTGCTCCCAGCCAGGGAATGAAGATCACTGAGCTCCAAAAACATTTAAGAAATTTTTGGATCATTGGACTCATAAACTGCTGATGATTGATAAATCCCAGGCTAAGCCAATGAAGGGATTCCGTAAGTGAAAAGAGAGAAAGATTGCATGGAAGAAGGAGAATAAGGATGCCTTTGGAACAAACAATTATGATAACAAGACTCTTCTGAGTTGGCAGCCCAGCTCCAGAACTCATAACCAACCCTGAGCAACTAACTATTCAACCTCGCCATGCCCCTCTTTTCTCGTCTGTAAAATGGGGGTTCACTTGACCACAAATAATTATTAGGCACCTAATAATGTCCCAGGTTCTGTGTTGGGTGTTGGAACATTGCTCTGGGCGCTGTAGAGCAGTTACCTTCCTCACAGGGCTGTTACGAAGATAGTCTGCGCATGTGAAGAGCTGAGAACGTGATTATCCTCATCAGATGGAGAAATAAATTTTATTTTTTTTGAGAAATAAATTTTAGATGGAAAATAAGACAGACAGATAAGCACACTGCTGACAGAGTTCAGGAAATGATAAAACAAGAAAGACCATCATAGAATTTTCAATTCAAGGCAGATTGAAATGAGACTACCTGATACATAAATGTTACTCAAAAGTGCATGCCCAGAACTTTCTTGGTCTTTCTGTCTTCAAGAGCACCTCACTTTGGTGTGTCTACATATCTACGTTGCTGCTATTTTAATTTCTCAAACATCACAGAGAGTTACCCCACCCTCAAACACTAATGACTCCCCATGTCTTCAACCCAAACTATACATTTCCAATTTGGACATTCAAGTTACTTCATAAAATCGTTTCTTTATTTTCTTTTACTTTTTTTCTTTCTTTTTCTTTTTTCTTTTCTCTCTCTCTCTCTCTCTCTCTTTTTTGAGAGATAAAGAGTGTGTGAGAGTGAGCAGGAGAGAGGCAGAGGGAGAAAGAGAGAGAATCTCCAGCAGACTCCAGACTTAGTGTGGAATCCGACATGGGGCTCAATCTCATGACCTGGAGATCATGACATGAGCTGATATCAAGAGCTGGATGCTTAACCAACTGTACCACCCAGGTGCCCCCATTAAATCATTTCTAATTACCTTTCTAGCCTCATTTATCACTGTCCCATTATATTTTGGGTCACAGACCACAGGTAATGCTTTAGAATGGCTCTAAGGTCTTTCAAGTGGTATTTGATTTTACCATAATCTATTATCCTATCATTTTCCTGCTTTATGCAATTTTGATAGCACAGCTCTTCAAACTTATGAACATTCCCTTCCCCTTTTCCAAGTGTTCAAACAACCTGTTCTGATCAGACTTGCCTTAGTTAATTTATTTGCCTTTAGAGGTAGCAGAATACCTTGTACACATTAGGGGCTGGATAAATATTCATTCACCCTCCCTTGCATTTTAGCTGCCTTCATGTTGCTTGCTCTTCTTGGAATGATATCCTTGTTTTCTCTGTGTTCCAAAATGAGAACTATCCTTCCTGATTGAAAAGTCAACATCTTTAAAGCCTCCTGTCCATCTTATCATGGATGAGATGGATTCCTTTGCCTTCAAAGTGTGCTTTTTGCAGACACCTTATTTACCAGATTTCTCAAATGATACCATATTTGATATTTTTTTGGTGGGGGTGTCTTATGGCTGAACATGCACTCAGGACAATGACTGTGTCCTTTTAATTTCTGTACCTTTACCATATTCACCTAACACCTTCTGCATGGTAAATACTTAAGAGATTAAAAAGAAATTTGTTGAATAAATGGAGGCACTGGTGACATTTTGAGCCATTGGAGGTTTGTTTAAAGTCTGAGTGGTTGAGGAGAGGCTGTGTATGGTTCCTTCCAGACTTTTCTCTAGGTCTTCACTGCCGTTCCTCCCCACCCAGCCCCTCAGCTGGACACAGAGTAAGTCTGTGTTTAGAGTAATGTGTTTTAAAGGTCACATTTATTAGCAAATAGCTGTGTTTATAAACTTAGTTTGACAAAAAAGGGAGCCTTTGAAATTAATACTGTATGCTGAAACTAGAACCAAGTTCACTCCACAGTATGTACTGGTTAAGGAAATGTGCAGTCAAGGTGGCTTTCACAATCTTATACTCCTCACCCACTCTTTTTATGTTTTGCAACTCAATTTTTTTTAAAGCTTGACTGGATTTTCAGGCTGGAATTTATCTGTTTTGTGTCAACTTGGGGTTGTCATGATATTCTGCTTTGAGAAGTTTACCAGAATGTGATGGAGACTCAGAACCTAGTTCGAACTCAACTTGTTCAGCTCAGCCACACTAGAGGACACTGGTTTACCTTCTCATCAAGAGTCTGGAAGACTGGTACTGGTGCTGTGGGATTCCCTGCTAGCACCCTCCCATCTCTGCCTCAGAGCATCTCGTTGGAATGGTTCCCCTGAGATGTTGTTGGCCTGGATTTATTTTCTTTCTTTCTTTCTTTCTTTCTTTCTTTCTTTCTTTCTTTCTTTCTTTTGATGGATTTCTAATATAAAAAAAATGCTAGGTCAGAAGCTGGGGAGAGGCACTTTCTGATATGCATGATGCAGGCTCTTCTGGCCCCCACATTCCAGCCTCACAAAGAGAAGACTCTTGGCAGATGATGGCCCTAGGAGCAAAAATTCATCTAAGAAGGTGATTAACCCAAACCAGAGACTTCTTGCAAGAGGGGGCATTGCACCTCTAGAATGTGCAATGTTTAGTTGCTAAGACAGGGATTCCGAGAGTGGAAGGTGTAGAATAATTGTGTAATGATTCTGCCTGGAGAGGCCAAGACGCCTACTCCAAAACTGGAATGAAATATGGAGGAGTTGCGCATTACAGATGATTGAACTCAGTTCTGTGAGGAGAGGATGGGATTCCAGACCATTTTCTAGAGTGGGAGAGGGCATACAGTTGTGCCAAGTGAGGGGGCTCCCCTAAAGGGAGATTCGTGATGAGCTTAGGCTACATGGAGTCTGAAACTATTCTATCCTCCTTTGATGAGAGAAATAGATAGTAAATAAGGATGATAAATGAGGATTCTTTCAAAGTACTCACTAGGGGATGCTCTACTCCATTCCCACCCCCACAAAAGTATCTCAAAATCCTTTAAGAATTCTGCTTTGGAAGGACTTCTATGATAGTTTATGTTTTCTGTTTCATCACTCCACAATTGCACCTCATTTTTAACCCAAAAATAGTTTCCTGCTTGATCAACATTTTATTCATCAGGCTTGGATCTGGAAGATTTTTGGTTGTTTCCAGAAATGAAAGTCATCCTCAAAACGGAAAGATTAACGTTATTGCAGGTCCTTAAGATATGTGACTTCAACCCTGAAGAACTCAAGAGGAGTTCCAGATATATTTTGGTATTGAAAAAATTTGTCTCATTATTTTGCTGCCCAATCTCATACATTTTCATGTCTTCTTCTTGAATACTGTTTTGGAGATGAAATCCAGACCTGTACAAACTAGTCTAAGTGCGTTGATCATTGAATTGCACCCAGAATGGCCATTGATAATTAAATTTTTGACTGTACAATATTCCTTTGAAAATGAAAGAAAGATGAAAGAGGAATGCCTGGGTGGCTCAGTGGTTGAGTGCCTGCCTTCGTCCCAGGGCATGATCCTGGAGTCCTGGGATCGAGTTCCACATCAGGCTCCCTGCATGGAGTCTGCTTCTTTCTCTGCCTATGTCTCTGCCTCTGTCTCTCAGTGTCTCCCATGAATAAATAAATAATATCTTTAAAAAAAAGAAAGATGAGAGGAAAGATGGATGTAAGAGAAAAATAGAAATACATATAATTAAATCATAAAAGAGTGATAGATACCACCTTCTGCTACTTTGTGCGGGCTCTGCACGCATTGTGCACATTCTATGTGTTAGTAGGTTACATAGAGCTTCGTTTTCTTTACGTCACTAGGTAATATTTATTGTAGAAAATTAGGGGGAAAAGGTGAAAGAGGATTTAAAATCATTTTGAATTCCATAGGTAACTCATTTTGATTTTTCATGTTTGTAGCTTTTTCTGGGTAGATTGTTCATTTTGTGGCAGATTTAAGTAATTACCCCTTTTTTGTTTGTTTTTTGCTTGTTTATTTAAATATTTTTTTGCATATTTTTTTATTGGAGTTCGATTTGCCAACATATAGTATAACACCCAGTCATCCCGTGAAGTGCTCCCCTCAGTGCCCGTCACCCAGTCACCCCAACTCCCCGCCCACCTCCCTTTCCACTACCCCTTGTTCGTTTCCCAGAGTTAGGAGTCTCTCGTGTTCTGTCACCCTCTCTCATATTTCCCACTCATTTATTT